GGAAACGAGGCTGTGATGACATACATGCTTATCCTTCAATCCAAGGAGAAGAACTTCCTCCATGATGGTGAGACGAGGCATTCTGCCACCGTGGCGGCTGTCCTCCTTGTCTTGATCAAGGTCGCGAGGGTCGAACGCAATTTTATTGCCGCCTTCAAACGCAGAGCCTGCATGGGTAGCTACTGGACCATTTGAAGCTGACCCATTTGAGTGCCAACCTGGGCTTGACGTATCATCTCCAGTGACCGATGATGAGGATGCTGTAGCAACACGTCGTCGAGATAGCCCGGCAGCGGTGGTCATCGTGCGGCAATTTGCATACAACTAGCACGGTATGGCGTTGATTTCAGTTATCGAGTGAGACGAGAGAAAAGGTTACGAAGAATTGTGTTGAAGACCTGAGGCAGGAGAGTAACGCACAGAAGTTGATTGGAAGTGGACTAGTCCTGTGTAAGTTACCAGTTTCGTCTATCACACGGTCACTAGACCCTCCCACTGCAGTGCTAATCGTTTGTTGGCGACGTCCCCGACTTTTTAGTCATCTTTCATTTGCGACGGTCATTGCACGTTGAACGTTCAGCTTCTCTACCTGAGAGGCTCCAGGAATCTTTCGTTTTGAAGGCGCCTCAATTCTGGCAGTGATACTCTATATATTGAACTCAGAGTGTACCGACCGTCGAGATCATATCTTCACCCTTGCGAGTTGCGACTGCATCCGTGAGCGCCTCTCCAGGACTTCTTCAGCTCGTTGAAGGAATGCGACGTCCTCAGACTTCCAATTGCACCATTTTGACCGCCCTCCATCTGCTTTATCGGTCAGGGAAGCTTGGCCCATCGCAAGGCATCCAACGTTCTCTTCTAGTTCTTCTCACTTGGCGACTGCCTATTATGACTGCGGGCGAAGCATCATCCTCTAAGCCCCCTTCCTTCTCCTATTTTTCAGTGCGGCCGCCAGGTGAGCTATCGCCCACAGGGAAAATTTCGCAGTAAACAGCAGCTTTTGGCTTCTAACACTGATTAGCCTTCAAGAGGCATTCCCCAACCGGTTAGTACATTCTTCCAGTCAAGGGCAGCTCTCACTGATCGTCTGCGGCATTTGCCCACTCACCCGCTTAGTCGCCGTTCATGACGAGATTCCCTTATTATTCGCAATGAAGTCACCCCCTAATACCCGCTGGGGCCGATTTTTTGACATCGCACCCTGCAGCGTTTTGTGTTCCATCATGCAAGATATTAACACGTGTGGGAGCCTGGAGGCGTGCGTTCACGGAGATGACATTAATCGCAGTACACGTGACTTGCAGATCTGTGATGAGACGCGGGTATGAGTTCTTCGAGTCATTCCCCCAAAAGAAGGGGACTTCCCGGTATGTCAACCCTTTTGATGCACGAGGAAAAGGGGGACGCGTCCCATATAACTTTCACGATTCCGAGTGCCTGCCCATCCTCCCTTAGGGCAGTTCCCGCACCTCCCTCCCGTGTGCAGGCATACGACGACCGGATTCATCCACCTCCTTCCCTTCTCACTCGACCGTCTTTCCTTTTCACCCATAGACAATCCTTAGGCGCCACCACTTCCGCAATTTCCCTGCAGGGTTTCTGTCCGTCATAAATTGCTCTCAGCGCCCGACGCTTTAGTCGCCCTCGTTCTTTCACCACATCAGTCTTACTCGCGGGTGCCTTTTCAGCTTTCATTCAGCATGTGCTCTATCAATGGACGAAATAAAGTAAGTTATGGGTCCACTCCCCTCACTCTGCATCCCTTTTTTCTGATCAATCGTGCTTTTTTCGGTCCGTAGTTGTATCTCTCGTTGGACACTTCACCCACTGCATCCAGTGACGATAGCCACGACCAACGTTGGACCGAAGTCATACCTCAGAAGGCCGCTTTGACTTTCGCAGCGCTATGGGACCCAGAGGAGGGGATGGTCACGTTTTCCGGTCCAGCGCTCCTCGAGTCCGACAGTCTGACAGGGATAGCGTCCCGTCCTGATGTATTTGACGATGACCGTTGTTCTCAGGTCATCTCCGTTGACCGAGACACGGACACCACGGAAGAGAACACCGCAACGCTAGTCACCTTCCAGGACGCGTTCAAAGCATTTCTGCACCGCGTACCGCGTACCGCTAAACAGTCCAGATCCACGAGATACCCGCAAGCGCGTGCATCCTCGACGTATGATGGCTTGGATGTGTACTCACACGACATAACACTCAAACCGAAGCGGTCTCTTCAGAGTTCTTACTTTGACCGTTTGGATATGGAGTCAGCTTTCAGGACTCCATCAGCATTTGGGAGGCTCCGGCTCAGGTCCGACCTGATGGTCGACAAATATGATCCTGAAAACGAATCTCGCATGAGCCGACACACGTATCTGGTAAGCTACATTGAATCCACTATGTGGTGTCCGTTGTCTGATCCTCTATCACAGAAATCTCGCTTTTCGACGACAACCACGTCCACTTCGAACTACATTGACGTGGCCAACGGTCTCCAGAGTACCCCGAGATTCGCCCCCAGCACTCCACCACAGTCGCCGGAGCGGGCAGTGTGTTCGCCTCCATCTTCCCCATCCACACCACGGCGCCGTCTCCAGAAACGGCGCACCTTTGGTGGTGAGCGTACTTCTCCAGGATCTCCGACCTCTAGCTCCGGCTCGGAGAGCAGAAGCCCATTCTCGTACAGCAGCCCATCTCCACCTGCATCACCCACATCACCTTCAAAGAGCGCGAGATTCAATCCCGCGATGCTTCTGCGTCGAAAGTCTCGGAGTTCATCGGACGAAGGCTGGATCTGCGTCGAAGTCACCCCCATCATCAAACAACGATATGTGGCTAGTCTAGATGACTATTGACAACTTTATTGTTTCCAATCACGCCCCTGGCTTGATATCACCCGCCCACCCCCTTTTTTGTGCTTCCTTTCGTTTTCGGGGTGTCAATCATGGCATGCAAGCATGTCACATTAACGTCACTTCCGATTCCTTCACGCTGGATTATGCTACTGTTATACCCGTAGTCGTGCTTCTCCTTATTCTTTCACCCATATGGATGGTGGGTGCGCAGGCCTGCACGGACTGCATTCTTTTGGTCGTGCGACGTGATCTTTTCCTTGGTGTTCAGGATCAGTTTGTCGTGAAGGCATTACCAACAAGTAGTTCACTTGAACGAGTATATAGTAGTATGTAGATCGTTTCAAATGGTGTATGATTAAATCAACAACTTGGATGCTACGCAACTTTTGGGTCTGCATTATCGATGCCATCTGCTTATCATGACATCTAGGACATCAAGTCCGAGTCCGCGATGCGTTTCTCTTCCATCATGCTGCCGATCCGCTGCCGCTACTCGTCGCTAGATTCTCAGTCTTCTGATGAGGGTCAGGAATCGTCACGAAGGGAAGGTCTTTGAGGGGTGGCAATCCCTCCTCCAAGCCCCAAAACAGCTCATTCCACCTGAGTGCACACCGATCTTCCGTAAACGCCGTGTACCTATACCTCGTGGCCGTTCGCTCCACAACGCCACGAGTAACAAAGAACTCCACTCCACGGTCTTCGTAGTCGATGGGGGTGCACGCGATACTGAGCTTTTGGTGTCTGAAGTGTTTGTTGATAGAGCTGGCGATGGAGAATTCGCTACGAATTTCGATTTCGGGGTGACGTCGTTGAGCCCATGCCTTTGCGTCAGCGCGCCATAGGCTGCTGTAGGACGTAGCCACCTGCGACCGAGATGCTTGGCAGACCGTTCTGAAGAGGGTTAGAGATGGTCACAAAGGGCAGGTCCTTGAGGAACGTCGATTCCTCCTCCAAGTCCCCAAACAGCTGCTCTTTCCACCTCAGCGCACCCGGTCCTCCTGAAAGGCCGTGTACCGATATGGCGTGGCGGTTCGGTCCACCATGCCATGGGTGATATATATATATAAAGCCACACCACGTCGATGGGGATGCACGCAATACTGAGCTTGTGGCGTCTGAAATATTTGTTGATAGAGCTGGCAATGGAGAAGTTGTTATGAGTCGAGATTTCGGGCCCATGCCTTTGCATCGGCGCGATCTGGGACGTAGCCACCTGCAACGAAAACCATGCTAGTAATGTTGCGGAGTCATGGTGTGTACTAGGATCAGGATCAGGTATGCAAGAAAGGTATGCAGGATGCCACAGAGCTCAATTGAAAGCCAAGATAGCGGCAGTGACTCGAGTCATCAAACCTCACCTACTGACATTTGAGCAGTAATCAAACCTTCTAACAGTAGCTCAGTTGGAAGAGTGCTGCAGTACTACTCTAGAGGCCACAGGTTCAATCCTTGTCTAGTCCACTTTTATGACAAAAGGCACTAGTATTATGACCCCAGTGTCTTCACGTCATGGTTGGTTACCGGTTGCCAATCACAATGTGAAGACACTTTGGGGTCTGTTGCTACAAGGTGCCGAGGCTCATATTATTTTCCTGGGACTGCACATGCTACGTTGAACATGATGATGTCATGTCGTGAGCACACTAGTCTCTGGAATCTTCCTCATTGTGCCAGAATACTTGAACAACATATTCACTCGGATTGTTGAGCTGCGTTGGACTTTTTCAGCATTTCGAGCGCTCGCTTTCAAAAGTATGTAATGTAATTCCATTTTTTTCCATTGTCATGTGATAATGCAAAATCAATGAGCAGTAGGTCACTGAATACTCTAGTGCTGGTTTGGCCCGCCTGGGCAGTGGGTCAAGTCCCGTATGTACAAGTAGAACTAGTCGGAAGCGACGAGAAGAAGCCGCGCACGTGTAGAAACAGCATGTGGAGAGAAATAGGCGAAGGGGTTCAAGTTTGTGAAAGCGAAAGAGGAAGATGTATCGCGTGGAGAGAAAGGTAAAGAGAAATTTAATATCAAATGATACCGTCCCAAAAACACAACAGACAGAGTAGGGTACAATTTTCGATGCTCCTACAACATTTCGATTGACCCAACCAACGATTACGATGGATAATACTCCATGTCCCAGTCCTCTGCAAATTTCTATCAGCCATGTGGAGCGCAAGATAGGTCGTCCACATACCTTCCGTTATGCCTCGCCATGCGTAGTAGAGCATAGCAACGGCTGCAGTTTCTAATATTGTGGCAATGAAGGAACCATCAACTTTCTGTGATGAGCCCTGGAGACGGTTGCACGATCAGATGCTAGCCACGGGTATAGGAGGAGATGACATACTCGACATATGACATTGTTGAGGAGGAAGTAGTCCAGCTGACTGAGAACAAAGAGGATGGCAGAAATCACATAATACCACACAGGCCTGACTTCGTTGAGAACGCCGAGCACAACGTACAGCATGATGCCGAAATAGATAAGAGCAGCGCTAAAATGCCAACATGTCAAACTGCACGCCATCTTGGATCCACAAGGGTGAAGTACATACGCTCCAGGCCATATACTGGTAAGCACGAAAATTGGTATGCTGCTGAGGGATTGCGGTGGGTTTGAAGGTCCAAAGGTGGTGCTGAGCAGGAGTGCAACGTCAAGCGATATATAAGTGGTCGTAACAAAGAAGAAGAGACCGATGATGGACAAAGGCTGCGTGACATTGGGTTAGGGAGTGCTCGAGACCAACATGGACGGAGCGTACTATTAGAGAGCTTAGAGTGCCGTCTTCCACGATCTGTGTCGCTACGATAGCATTGGCCAGCAATGTCCAAAAGAGAGTAGCGACAAGGCCAGCGTGAATGGCGGTGAGAGCAACCAAGGGTGTTGTTCCTTGTTCAATGACGGAGCCATTGGTTAAAATTTGGAGTGGTAGCGTCAAAAGGTACATGATAAGGAACAGGCGTAGCTCAGAGCGCCCTAGAGAAGCCAAGTCAGTCAAAGAACATGTGGGAATGGACCGCGGGAAATGGATGGACGTTGCACACACGGAAGAAACGAAAACTCACCGACTGCAGCCTTTCTCCGGCCGGTGAGGACTATGAGTGTTACAATCAGGAATACGCTGAGGGAGCAAGCGATGATATTGGCGATGTTTCCCAGTGACCCATCAGTTTGTATTCTTGGTATTCCACATTCTGGGTTAACACCGACGGGGGCCGCTGCTGGATTTGCAGACGCGCCAGTAAGCAGTGACTTGTCATGTTTGAATACCTGATGAAGATCAGCAGTGTAGCAAAGTTCTGAACGGTGAAAGTAAAGCGCACCTGGCTATAGAAGAGATTGCACCAGGTGTATGATGGTACTTGGGAACAGAGTGTGTCGAAGTCGCCGAATCGCATCGCTGCTGGGCGAGAGGTACAAATATACTAAGAAAAGGGGCTTTGTACGTTCCTTTCTAGGTCGTTGAGGTATCTTGAGGAGGTATATACGGGAGGTATCGCTCCGAGAAGCTGAATTCGTCGAGATCGTACCAGGTGTCGTTCAGCAAGTTCAAATGTAAACAGATCAATACAAAGACACGACAGTTCAATTAGCGCTTACTGTACCCACGGCCCACGTTGTGTCCGAATAAATGTAGGCTGCCAAAGAACGTAACGAAGAGACAGAAACGAGAACAAAACGAAAGTTGGAAGCTTAGAAGATGAGTGTATATGTCCAGTGAAAAGAAGTCACAAGGCAGGAGAGTGTACCCATGTGAACACTCCTGCTTACCTAACCTTCATGATCATCACAAGCGTACTTTATCCATGCACGAGTTTGTCGAGCCAGATGGCGAACTTCTGGGTGCTACACTGCTACGTATGAATTATAGTTTCCACAAAAATCAATGGGCTATCATTGCCAGGTCGGACCATCACCCTAAAAGTCGTTCAAGGCTCTACTCCAGGGACAACTTCGAGAAGAGCTGCAGCATCGCCGCTGCATCAGCGCCGGGAGATCGTTCAGATCATAGAATTGCCTCAAGTTAAAACGCACACGGTAGTATAAGGTGATTGAGACGACGGCCGGGCACAAGGCGAATCAAGGACTGAGATCTGAGACTACATGGAGGCGACCTACAGCATCCAAGATCCCGCATCTGAGGGGTCACCGGTCACCAGACCGGTCCCGGTGAGGTGCTAATCGGTCTGCCACCAAAGTAATCTACGTTACGATGGAATTCTTCCTTAGAAATCCCGCTCAGTCATACTTACCAGAACCAATTACTAAGGCACGCTTTGGGGAAGCATAAATACAGCAGTTGAGCTTGCTAGTAAACCAGCCAAAGTCGGATCCCCCCCAACTTGACTTGAATTATCACGTCCATCTCTTCCCCCATCATGTCTACGCCCTCCGTCGAATATCGCAGACTCGGCAAGTCAGGCCTTCAGGTGTCGGTCCCCATCGTAAGTGTGGCATGTTTTAGACAAATACAGACCCTGATGAAACGTGTAAGCTGGGAGCCATGAGTTTTGGCTCGTCGAAATGGGGTGTACGTATGCTCGTTATCTTCGCCGCGGCGTGAGATAATGATCTCATCCTCTATCGTTCATCAGGCATGGGTCCTGGACGAAAAGCCGTCACTAGAGGTTATGAAAGCCGCATGGGACCTTGGTATCAACACCATCGATACTGCAAATATCTACTCCAACGGTGAATCGGAGCGCCTCGTGGCAAAGTTCGTAAAGAAGGTGTCGTCATACATGTTCCTTTTGAAGTCTGCTTTGGCTCACCTGCCTTTTCCAGTACCAAATCCCCCGTCACGAAATCATAATTGCTTCAAAATGCTACGGTCTTGTTGCCAAAGACGTGGGCGACCGCACAGCCTTCAATCCTGACCTAGCCAAGTTGACCCAGTACATCAACCAAAGAGGTCTGTCCCGTGCAGCCATCTTCAACGCCGTCGAGGCCTCGCTTGCCCGTCTGGAGACGCCGTACATCGACCTCTTCCAGATCCACAGGTACGACTCAGAGGTCCCTGCTGAAGAGACGATGAAGGCACTCCATGACCTCGTCCAGAGCGGTAAAGTGCGCTACATCGGCGCGAGCTCCATGCGTTGCTGGCAGTTCGCCCACCTGAACGAGGTGGCGAGCAAGAATGGCTGGACCAAGTTCGTCAGTATGCAGGACGAGTATTCATTACTTTACCGCGAGGAGGTGCGTTGTCTCGCTTGGCGCTGTGATGTACCGTCGATCTGACAATGTGCAGGAGCGTGAGATGCTGGCTTACTGTAAATTCAACGGTATCGGTGTCATCCCCTGGGCGCCTATAGCAAGAGGAGACCTTGCTCGCCCGGTTGGCACGGAAACCCTTCGGGTCAAGGAAGCAAGGGGCACCATGTTCGAGAGGAAGTTCTCAGAGGCTGACAAGCTTATCGTTAGCCGCGTGGAGGAGCTCGCGAAGAAGAAAGGAATCACAATGGCACAGATTGCAATTGCTTGGGTCGGCCAGAAGGTTGTTAGCCCCATCGTCGGTGTCAACTCTGTGGAGAGGTTGAAGGAGAGCATCGTGACTAATATTGTGCTGACGCCCGAGGACGTGGCGTATCTTGAAGAACCGTGCGTGTTACTTTGCTTCGATGGCGCTATCACTGAGCATTGTCTGCAGGTATGAGCCAAAGGTTGTTCGTGGTCACCAGTAAAGCAGAAAGGGAGGTGCCGATTGCATGAGAAGTGTACGATCAGTGTAGAAGTAGATCTGTTGATCTGCAGCATTACAGCATTGCCTTGAAACCTGTCGACTTGTAATTGGAGCAACAATGAGACCTGAATTATGCAAAAATAAATCCTAAGAATACAAATATAGGGCGGTCAAAGATAAACATAGTGTCCATCCGCTATGTCGCTGGGTCATGTAGAACAGCGAGTAAAAACCGCTCGTCTGCGCCAGCCTCATCAGTCAAAATAGCCATACGATGAGAAGAAAAGCACGGACCTGGTGATATCATTATTTCGTGTCGTTTCGTCCTGATTCTCATGAAACGTATTTGATCCTGGAGGAGATTAGACTAGTTGAAAAGAAATTGCAGCGATGCGTCGTGCGACTCACCCCCTCGTTCTCCTCCCCACTGACCTCCTCCAGCCCTGTTTGCACGCTCTCTACAATTCTCCCAATAACGCTCGCGTATTTCTTCCCATGCTCACCCTCAAACACGACGCCGGAATGCCTGATGATGCTCACCTGGTCTCCCCGTGAGAGAAGGAGGTACCCCAGGACAGAGCGGTGCGCTGAGAGCATAGCGAGAGTTTGTTCGAGTTCTGGTGGCATTGCTGGGTGAGCGTGTCCTGTATGTGTCCCTGCCGTCGATATGGAAGCGGCACCTTGGGTTGGGGCAGTGGAGGTTCCTGCGAGAGATGTACCCATGGACGGTGTTATTCCTTGGACAGCCTGCTTGGGTGGGCTGAGGGTTTGATTGGTCAAGG